AAGCAACAGGAAGATTAGTCCTCTGAGCTGGACAGCCAATTTGCCTCTAATTGGGCTGTAACAGGAGCAGAGCAGCAAACCCATGCATTCTGAGGACTCTGCAGCTGTCTTCAGAATGCCCTGCCTAGGAGCTACTAAAGAAGACTCGGGGTTCATCTCAAAACTCTTTATGTGAAAAAAAACAGCTTATATATCAGGGTGGTTTCCATTCCAGTTCTTCTCAGAGTTAGAGCCTGCAAAACTGCCAACCCCTAAGTCTCCCTGTAGCGCACTGAATAGAGAAATCTAGGTGGCTAAAAAATATACTCTGACATAGCATTTTTGGAAAAGAAAGTGCCCAAATCATAGGCTATTTGGCCACACTATGCTTAGCAGCTATATCTAATCTGCAGCCTGAGGACAGCGTGCTCCCCAAGGTTGATATGAATGTGGCCCAGCAGAAAAGCATAAGCTTTCTTAAAACATTATGAGATTATTTTTAGCAAGTAGATTGTGCAGTGTTTTGTAGCTAGCAATGTTGTGCCACAGTGTCTAAAAGTTGGGCATGCTTGGGAGTCTAAGGCCTGCAGTTTTTTCCTTATTCTTGAACTACTGTGGAAAATGGAGCCAAAACAAAGAGGGTCGCACTACATACACATGTTCCCATCCTACAAGGAGACATACCACAGCCGGCTGCCTAGGTGATTTCCTAGCTTTGAATAATTTCGCCTTGGCAATCCTTACTGCAAGGAGCTTGTAGAGTTCAGCTGGTTATATACTTCTGCCTACCTAAATGACATCATAGGTTAGAGTGCAGAGCTCAGGGAGACCTACAACATCATCTAGCACAAGTGACTATTTCATATACCAAACAGAAAAGGGCTTATTCAAGGTCACTAGTTACTGGGGAAGTCAAGGCTTTAATGTAGGTACCCTGTTCTTGTATCAGTGCCCAAGGCATGGTAATCTTACATCAAATTAGAAAGAAAGCCCATAACTTATTTGTTGTAGTTCTTTGGAGAAGCATAGTTAGTGTTCCACAGAATAAAACTGTTCCTCTGACAGTATGTTTTGAACTTTTTTTCTCTAATAAAATGTTATGGCAAATTTTCTTTGTCATTAAAAACAGAAAAGTATAGCATAATACTGCATTTGTTTCTCAGCCTACATATGAAATAACAGAGGTTCTCACATACCTCTCTAGGGAACCAAGCACCTTGGAATGAGAATGAATGATTTGCAGTCCAATGCAGCACACAAAACTGCAAACTGACAATTGTAAAGATTACCCCCTAAGTGAGGACTCTGGGAAGAGAGAACATTTTATCCTGACATGGAAGGGCCTGAAAGGTATCCGAGAAAAGTTAAAGCTTGGAGGGGGCTGAACCTCTAGGCCAAGGATCAGTTAGGTATACAGAGAGGGGAACAGCTGAAAGGGCCCTGATGCAGCGATGATTAAAAAGAAAGTAGAGAAGAAACTTCAAGTGGTCCATCTTGGTTGGTAGCAAGACTGTCATACTGGTGACAAGGTGGTGACATGCTCCATGAACAAAAAATATCAAACGGTGTCCCCTACATAAATACAACATAGTGCCAAGCTAGAGTGACTTCACAATGCAAGCTCCTCATCTGCATCCCACCATCAACACATGAATTTAAAAGATCATACGCAATAAAACTAAGGGAGGTACAAGGAAAGGAAGAACAGAATTTACCAGTAAGTGACTGATGTGAGCCTCTAGTTGAGATCAACTACCACGCTGGTGAAATGAATAGTTGATTCTGACATGAATGGGGCCTTATAACTTGTGAAGATTCCACCACACATTGTTACTAAAAGATCAAATACATATGTTTAGACTTCTAAACAAGAGTTCAGGCTCCTGAGTAAACAATCCTTAACTACTGTACCTGCTCCGCCATTTCATAAGAGCCAGAGCAATCTAACTGCAATGTTTTCAGTTCATTTGTCAGTTTTACTAGTAAGCAGTGGTTTTATGGATAAAATATGCAGCTAGAGGTTAAGAAAGAAGCCTTCTCTCAAGCTCCCATACAGAGGAAAACTGGGAAATTTCACGTTAAGGGTTGTTTTTGTCGTTTTGTGAGACAGGGTCTTACCATGTACTCCTAGGTAGCCTGGAATGTAGATCAGCTGGCCCCAAACTTACACTCAGAGAGATCCACCTGCCTTCACCTCCTGAGTGCTAGGATTAAAGGCGTTCACATGGTTCACACATTTAATTTTCACTTGAACCTAAGAAAGAAAATGTACAAAATATGCAAGATGATGAGAAAGATGTTTTCTATAAATAGGTAGGTTCTCTTTAGACCCACACACAAAAAAAAAATTCTCCAATGATCAACTTCAAATGAGTTCCTTGAATCATTCACATACCTCAGAATCAGGGCCACATTCAGACTTCATGTCTCATACTTACAAGACCTCCTGAAAATAGGTAGTTTTGGGGGAACGCCTTATTGTAAGAGAGGCCACTTGTTCGTTTCCCGGCTGCCCAGACTCCTGAAATAACCACACAGAAACTGTATTAATTAAATTACTGGTTGGTCAATTACTTAAGCATATTGCTAACTAACTCTTACATCTAGAATTAACCCATCTCCATTATTTTATATTTTACTATAAGGCTTGTGGCCTACCGGCAAGGTTTCATCACATCTGTCTCTGGCGGCTCCATGGCTTCTCCCTCACTCCACCTCCTTTCTCCCAGCATTCAGCTTAGTTTTCCCCACTGAACTAAGTCCTACCTTGCTATAGGACAAGCCAGTTTCTTTATTCATTAACCAATAAATCAACACATAGACAGAAGGACCTCCCACACCATCCCCTCACTGAGATTTTTTATGTGAGCTAAAAGGTAGCTCTGAAACTGCTGAATTCACAGGATACCTGAGGGCCTTTTACTCTCTTTCTCATGGGAAATGAAGGTAAAGGCATGCAGGTGTGATATCTAGGAATAAGGGCATGGACATTTCCGGGGTCATAAGTCTACAGAATGGAGGAAGGCCCATGGCCATACGTGAATCTAGCTGACGGGTCTATTCATCTGCCCTCTTAAAATAGAAGCATTAAGTGTCCACAATGAATTGGGCACTGTACCAGTCATTTGGGATTACCAGAGGAAACAAGAGAAAAAAATGCCTGCTCTCATAATGGCATACCCTATTCCAACTGTCCCCTAGGTGCCTGTTAATTACAGTTGTTTCTCAGTTAAGTTTGTGCCCAGAATGCCCCCAATGATTCTACCAGAAGAGTACCTGCAAGTAGTAGAAACAGAAAGAAAGAAAAAAAAGCAAATATTCAGAGAGGGACAGACTGCAGCTGAACTGAATGCTTTTTCAGGCTTGAAGAAGCACCACAGAACTCACTTGATGTGCTTTGTATCTTGTACGGGTTTGTGGCTTGGAAGGGTGGTGTGAACACAGGCTTCCTAAAGAAAGTCATATCAGAGTGTCCATTGCCCCAGGCTGGGTTAGCCAAAGGACAAGGGCCCCAGAGAAGAACACCCTGTGAGATGCTGAACTGCCCCCGCTCCAGTGTCTTACTTCTGGACAGCAGGACTCCTGCCAAAGCGAATCTTCCCAAAGTACTGCTTGGATGAAGGTATCATCCTTGGACCCAGATAAAATCTGTGGGAGGTTATTGAAGAGCTTCTAAACTCCCCTATCCCTCCTACCCATTATACTCTCTCCTACTTAAAAGATACTAGATAATCTTCCAAAGATGGTTCCCCTGCTACTCGTTTTTCCGGAGCCAGTTTAAAGGGCAACTTTACCAGAAGCTGTGACAATATCAGCAAGAAGCTTCTTTTGAGTTCTCCACAGCTCTGGAGTGCTTTGCCCACAGCTAGAAGCCCCTGCTTGGCTACATAATTTATCTTCCATGGCAGAGCGAAGTCTTTGAGGATAAGGACTGTTTTATGGCTGCTATCTCTTCTCAATCCTTAGACCAGAGCCTTGGTGTTTACTGAATGCAACACCAAGTTGTTTCTTTTCTTTTCTATCTGGGAATTCACTTTATAGTCAAGTTTTCTTTTAACATATTGCTCAGCTATGCATTTTTCTCCAGTCATGTTAATGAAGCAGGAACAACTCTGACGTGAACTTAGAGGCAGGGTGTCTTTAATAAATCTGTAATGTTTTATGCATGGCCTTTGGAGGACTCAAGAGATGCGGGCTTTTTTGCGTCCTTCCACTCCTTTCATAATCTCATTTCCACCGCCCCCACCCACCAGCTGTACTTCTTCAGCCCCCACTCTTATTAAAAACCACTTTAGCCTTTGAGATATCCTAGGACCTTTCCTTCCATATGCTTCCTGTACTTAGCCCCCTCTCCACATTCCTTTAGGCCATTATCCTTGGTCGCAAAGTGTGTTCCCCAGGCAATTTCAGGAACTCTAAGGATGCCCTAGTATTTATTGAGAGTGATGATCCTAAGTCATGAGCTTAACATATTTACAATTAATACACAGACTATATTTAGGGAAGTTTCAACTATATGAAAACAATTTTTAGCTCAAGCAGAATACCAGGATTTTATTTGCTGATTCCTAGATTGATTTATTTTGCTGTCTTTGCTAAAATATTAGAACTTCAATGTTTGACTGACTTACATTTACAGAGGGAAAATATTTAGTGAGCTAAGCATTGCTGTCGACACTAGAAATATGAACTTCATGTGTTATTTGGAATGACTCTAGCAGACATATAGCTCCATTTACAGAAGAAAACCCGAGGTCTTGTCCAAAATCATCCAGTTATTTTGTGGAGCTAGGGTTCTACCATTGTTCCGTTCAGTATGGAGCATATATATTCTTATAGTTATGCCATCGTATCCCCGTAAAAAAATCCAGTACTTTCTAGTTGGTCTGCTGCTCTAAAACAGAATCCACTAAGATGCAAGCTCAGAGGCTTAGCCCATCACTAACCCAATTATTATACCATCTACTTATACCACCATCACAAAATCAACTGTGTTTCAAAGAAAAGAAGAGCCTAAAATATATTATTTCCATGATTTCTTTCTAGAAATTGGGTGCATGGTACAGTGCGGGTAAAACCAGATGACTCCAGATTCCACAGTATGTTAATCTTACATTTTGGTACAATGATCCAGGCGGTAGTGTCGCACACCTTCAATCCCAGCACTCTGGTGGCAGAAGCAGGCAGATCTCTGTGAGTTCAAGGCCATCCTGATTTACAGCGATAGTTCTAGGACAGCCAGAAAGCCTGTCTCGGAAAACCAAACCAAACAAACAAACAAACAAACATTTTGGTACAAAGTTACAATGTAAATGAATTAGCAATGACTATCAAAGCAAACAACCTACACACGAAAGGATAAAATTATTCCACAATCAAATAAACTATTCCACAATCAAATATACATCTATGTATTTTCCCTATAAGAATTTAAGGTAAGGTCACATTTATTCATTCAACAAACATTTATTGAGCCCCAGTAACTGTACTAGGTGCTAAGAAATACAACTTGAATAAGATAAATCAGGCTCCAGCCCTCACTGGATACGGTTTGCTTTAAAGTTTAAATGATTTTGCTAACTATGCGATAGCTGATGTTCTGTAATAGAATTATATTTTGGGGAAAGTCAGAGTCATAGGAGGCCTCTTCTGGAATACTTTTACATTTTCTTTATGGTAAATGATATAAATCTTTAACTTAAGAGAAGGAAGGTCAGCAGTCTCTAGGATGGTTTCAACAAGCACGTTGATGGTCAAGTTGACTGTCAAGCAATATGGTGGTGGATGGTGGTCAACCAAGGGGGTAGCTTAGACCATTCGGTTGCGCTTGTGGGATGGAGAGTCTATGGTGGCATCACCAAACTGGGCCGAGGTACGCTTACGAATTCCTCCACTGTCCAGACGGAGAGCCAGTTCTTCTGAGCCCAAGGGGTTCGGATCATCTTCCAGAAAGCCACTTTTCCGACGCCCACTGCTGGCAATACCTCCATCTTGAGATGGGGAACCAGAAGTGCCAGATCGCATGCTGATGCTTGCCATGGCGCCATTGAGGCCATGGAGGGCGATGGCCTCATGGAAGGGCTGCAGGTCGACGTCCACAGGTGCGGTGGACTCAGTGGCAGCAGCCGGACTGGAAGCAGCTGCGGGCGGCCTAGGGGACATCCTGGAGGTGCGTGGCGGGGGAGCGGTGGGGGGGACTTTGCCACAGAGGAAGCTAATGAGGTCTTCCCTGCGAATGATGCTCCTACCCTTCTTCACCCACTCCAGCACATCTCTAACGCGACGCTGGTAGCCAACCTGGACGCCCAGCTCAAAACTTCGCTGGTAGGCATCCCCGCTCTCTTTGTAGAGGCTGGTCACGGCCATGGCAGCATTCTGGAAGGGGTCCCACATAGACAGTCCTGGCTGCTGGCACCCGGAATCTTTGTAGAGCTGGGCCACCGCAGTGGCTGAGATCTGGAAGAGGTGCCAGAGCCTCTGCCGCTCGATCTTGAGCCCAGCCGCATCAGCAGCCGCCTCCTCCTGCAGCTCGGGGGACAGCTGCTCTTCCTGCTCCGCCTCAGCAAGGCACTGGCGCTCCCACTTAGAAAGCCAGGGCTCAGCGACCTCGGCCTCACGGTCCTTCTGCTGCTCCTCCATCCTTCTCTTCCTCCAGGCCGCGCGCCTTCCTTCCTCCACTACAGTCTCCGCAGCTGACTGTGGCTGCAGCTCCTTCACCTCCACCTCCGCCTCCTCCTCCTCCACCACCACCACCTCCACCGCAGCTCACCTCAGGCTCAGGGGGGGCCGCCCTCCGCCTTCCGCGGCCGCCGCCGCCGCCTTCGCGGGCGCCGCTGGGCGGGCGGGCGGGCGCGCGGGCGGCGGGGGCCCAGAGGCCAAGCGCTCCAGCAAGCCAGCGAGCGAGCGAGCTAGCGAGCACCGCCCGGGGCCCTGGTCCACGCCCCGCCCCGCCCCGCCGGCCCGGCCCCCGCGACGCGGCGCCCGCAGCCTCCGCAGCCGGGGAGATAACCCCAACGCCGCCGGCGCCGCTGCGCTGCCCGCTTCCGGGCTCGCCGCTCGCCCGCCCGCCCGCCCGCCCGCGCGCTCACCCGCTCACCCGCTCACCCGCCCGCCAGGGCTGCCCGGCCGCTTGCAGCGCCACGGCCTCCCCGCCTCCCCGGTAAAGGCCTGGGCTGGCCGCTCCGCCCCAGCACTCGCTAGCGCCGCGCCTGCCGCACTGAAGGCTCAGAGGTGGCCCCGCTGCAGCGCTGCCTCCACACCGCACTCGCCTGGCGCGGGGGCTCCCTTTGCACACTTTTTTTTGGGGGGAGGGGGGACTTGTCGGCTCTATCCAAATGACCTGATGACATTTTACATCCTCTGTTGCCGCATATGATTATGGGGGCAACTTGATGGTGTCTGCCACATCCAGGGAGGCTGAGGTAAAGTGGAAAGACCTGACCCTTCTGTGAACTAGGCAGGCGATACGAACTCTTTGGCAATGTCTTCCACGCTTGGGAAGAAATCTGTGGCATGAATCGGACAGTATTTTTAAAGGGAGAGAAAGGTCACGCTAGAAAAATGCTCCCTCCTCGGCCTGTTTCCTCAAGTGTCCAGTAAGGTGGTTGGACTAGGTGTCTGTATAGCACCTAAAGGTCTCTGCGAAGCACTGACGGTGGTGATGGAGAATCCCCCTGTTGCCCTTGCACAATGCCCCTTCGGTGCTATTGCATACTTAACCAAATTCTCAGAGTGATGATCAAACATGGCACTGATTTCCTTAGTCTTCTAATACAGGTTTATAGCATTTTAAAAGTTGGAGGGGTTCTGTGTGGTCCACTTTCAACTACTCAGCACCCCAACATTAAGAAAAAAAATAGAAAGCTCAAGCAGAATTTTCTACTGTAGTGCAAAATTCCGATTTTTTTAAGAAAATAAGAATTGCCTAATTTCCAACACCCTAAAATTCCAGCTAGTTAAAATGCAATACCGAACTAAGCTACAAAAGCATGGCAAACTATTCTCTTTTCTCTGCATTCAATATCAGTTTCCATATAATGTTGCAATCCGTTTTCATTGCAGACAATTTCAGAACAAACAAAAGAAGAAATTAAAACTAAGTCAAGAATAACATCAAAAAAGGGAGGAACTGACTTGTAGTCCTTTTTTTTTCAAATTTAGGGAAGGAAAGTCATAATTTTGTAGTTTCTGATGTGAACATTTGTTAACTATCCAGAAAGCCTTACAAATATAAATTTCAATCTTCTAGAAAAATATTTGATAATTCTGAAGTATTAAAATTAGTATGTAAAATAATCAGAATGATCATAAAATGGTAATAATAATGATCAAATCACTAAGCTTTATCATCATTCTTAAAAGAAATACATGTTTCTAAGTTAAATGTAAAAGACAAGGGGGGTCAAAGGAGGGGGAGGAGGAGGGAAAAAAAGGAGGAGAGATTGTGCCCTTTCTCTGCAAACCAGGCTTTTCACGATTCATTAAACCTTTTTTCCATATGTGTAATTGGACTCTTCTCATTTACATAAACGAAGGATGAGGCAAAAGACCTAAGATCAGCTCCCCAAAAGAGACATGTTTCTCATTCCCCTATGTTTTTTTTTTTAATAAAATCGACGTATTATAGAAGTAACCCCCGGAAGACAGAGTTCTCTTTAGCTCCAGCCCCAACAAAACCTAAATCACTTCTTAGCTGAAGAGTTGGCCACAGCCCTACTCGGGGTACCTTACAGCTATTATCAGAGACACATGCTTTTATTTAATTTTTCTAAGTGAAAAGCTTTCACCATAACTCTCTCTCTCTCTCTCTCTCTCTCTCTCTCTCTCTCTCTTTCTCTCTCTCTCTCTCTCTCTCTCCTTCCCTTCTTCCCTCCCTCCCTCCTTCCCTCTCTCCCTCTGATTGGGTTAAACACCAAGAAGAAAGAGTGCAGTGTCTTTAGAGACTGTGCGCCCCTCCGCTTGGGCTGGAGTTGTCTGGCTGCTGTCCTCCGTTCACTTGGTTCCAGCACCTGATCAATTAGTTAATTAGTACTTAGAGCTGACTAGCCCCCACTCGGCAATTTTCATGCCCTGCATGGTGAAATGTTGAATCCAGCACTGAAATTTCTGTCACACACCCTAATTATTATCACCCCAGTACTTTTTAAAGCCAGCCATTGCACCGAATTGTTATTATAGACAGAGTTAGGTAACTCTGTGGAAATATATTATCTCTGGGAATTAAGGATACTCCTAATCAATATTTTTCACTGTTGACACTGACACGTTTAAATAAAACAATTAAATGAAAAAATCTAATTCAATTAGCTTTTAACTCACTCCTGGGGGGGATGATTTTATACAGGAGAGGTGTTAGAAGAATCACATCAACAATGTTAATGTTTTATCAGTTCTCCAGACACCAAAGAGCATGCTCATAGGGCATATATAGCTGAGATAGAATTTCATCTTAGATAACCTGAAATGTCAGAGAATAAAAAATTGATACAAAATAAAGAGATCATTTTAACTAACTGTAAGAAAATGATGGTATCTACATGTTTGTGACATTGATATTTAAAAATTTCACATAACTAAGGAATGAGTTTTCTGTGGGGAAAAAATATTCCTTGGCCACTTCCCCATCTTTTCAAGTAAGGTTAAATAGCAACTAGAGAAAACTAGCTTTTGAAAACATTAGGGTACAAACCAATAGACTTTAATTTTTGGCACTTCTCACTGTACCATTACTGAAAGGGTACTGGTATATCAATGATTTCCAATATTATTCGTGGCTATTTTACCTGGTAATAATCCTTATATATCAGTACAGTGAGTTGCCTGCAATTGTAAGAGCTAAATGGTACACAAAACTGGATACACAACCTCACAGACCAGTAAATGGGTTGGACTGAAAGCAAAAGTAAACACCAACCTTAGGAAATGAAAGAAGTTAAAAGATAAGTGTTAAGGACCTTATTCTTTTTGGAGAATAAAACAAGATTTAGTAGCTTTCCACTTAATTTAAATGAAAAGAATCACTACCTTACATATTGCAGTGATAATGTAATGGGGAAAGAAAACAAAAAAGTCTTTGTACAAATGACACCTCCTATAGTTGTTGTGAAGAAACTTTTCCCCTTGGTATCTGCTAACAAATTCTAATTAATGCTGCACATTCCTTTACTGAAATCATTTAATGCGGAACAAGGGGGGTAAAAAGAAATGCTGAATGCTCGTGATTGCCCTGTTAGAATTATGGGAGTGAAAGCCTGGGGCCCCAAACTTACTGTCTATTAAAGCCAAGCTTTGAAAAAGAAATGCAACCTACAAAAGCTGTCAATCTCCCTTGCCCCTAAAGCCTGGGTTCACATGGATTCAAGTGACAGCCCTCCTCCCCCATGCACAATACATCAATCTGTCTCTCCCACAAGCACCCACAGCCCATTGTGCTGGCCGCAGGTGCCTATTATGGCACCCATGGCTGCCTCCCACAGCTCCGCCCCTGAGAAACAGGAACTGCAGACAATGGAGCCCTGTGGGAAGACAGAGGTGGGTGTTGGGAGGGATAACAGACAGATGGTAAAGGGTATAGGGTAGTAAGGTAGTTTCAAAACAAATGTCAAACATTCAAAATTATTGCTTTCGTGTGCCCCCACCCCCATTTTGAATTGCTTTTGCTTTAGTCCCCATCCGCCTTAATTATGAAGACATGTACCTGTGAAGATGAATATTTGATACCCTTTTGGGATCGTGGTAGAGAAGATGACCTTCCATTCTGCACTGCTTCTATTTACTTTCTGGGTTTCTCAAGGTCACAGACTGAAAGTTTTAGTTCAGGGACGACACTACTAGAGACCATACAGAGAAACAAGAATAGTTCTAAGTTTTACAAGGCTTGTCATTTGCATTCAATCTTAGTTTGAGGGTCTATAAATTGGTAAGGGATATAACAAGTAGCTACTTTGTGTAATAAATTTTCAAAAATCAAAATACTATGAAAAGTCTTTCACAGTCTGTGAAAAGCAAACATAAAATATTTAGATTACTTCTTTTGTGGTAAGGAGATAGGAAAAGGGAAATGAGGTAGATTTACTAATGCAAGTACTGAGCACTTTACTCAGCCTCATTTCCTGTTTCTTGACGTGTTAGAAAGTGAACAAAATTTCAAGAAGCACTAAATTTAATTTGTATCAAGTACCATTATTTTTTAAAGTACACTTTTGACATTTCATTTTGTAAAATATTATTTTCCTATGTTACCTTTAGCTTTTAAATGGTGAAATAATTAACAAGAAATACACAAAAATTAAAACATATACCAAAACACATACACATATTTATCTAGACATTTTGATTTACTTGCTGTTGCCCTTATATGATCATTTCACTATACAACCTTTTCCTATTCTCAAGATTATTTGTCAGAAACTAAAGCCAAATTAAGAAAAAAAAAATTATCACTGGTATTACCGTCTCAAGCAAAAGTGACCAAAAAAAAAAATCTGGCACAACTGTAAGTCATGGTAAAGACAATTGGTGACTTGTTGGAATGAGGATACCCACAGAATAATGCCAGGGATGAAAACCAGCCAGTTTTCCTGAAGCAGACAAGAGGGTCTTGGTTTGCTGTCAAAAACCACAAACTGGGCTTTAACTAGGAACTGTCAGAGATCCAAGTGAGCTCCTGGCCAAGGAGAGCTTAATTAGCAGAATTGGTTTGAGTTTTTTTTTTTA